AGTCCAGTGTTTTTCAACCGGCCATCGCCCCTTAATAACAAGCTGCAACCAAAACTGAGATCAATTCTCAACTTCTTAAATTTATTGCATGAAAACGGTGCGGTCTGAAGTTGAGAAAGTAGAATAGACACACAAAAACAAGTTTAATGATAAACCAAAACAACCCGTACGTGTCAATTCTAGCTAGGGAACTATTCTCTCTTATGCTCAGTTAGCTGCATTCTAATGACAACCATAAAAACTACCTTTTAAAAAAAAAAAACTTAATGTTTTCATTCATAAACATGAAATTAAAAAGTCCAACTACTGAGATATAGTTTCAAAGAGACTCAAAAAAATGTAGTTTTAGCTAAATACATATTTTACAGTCAAATCTTTATCACCTTAAGCTTGTTTTAAATGCAGATAAATCGAAGGTGATGCTGTTTTCCAATGGGAAATTCGAAAGTAAGGATTTTCCAGTCATTACTACAGCCGAAGGTCTGAAAATTGAAAAAGTATCACAGTATAAATATTTAGGACTTTTAATAGATGATTCTTTGTCTTTTACTTCCCACATTCAACAGCTGGTGAAGAAGCTGAGATTAAAAATTGGGATTTTATTCCAGGATCAGATCCGGTCTATCTTTTGAGGCTAGAAAGTGACTGGTTGACATTACTTTCATGTCTGTATTGGACTATGGTGACATTTTATATATGCATGCTTCTCTTAAATGTCTATTTGTTGGATAAGCATGCATCAGGATATTTGTTGGATAATGTTTATCATGGCGTTTTAAGATTTATAACGAGTTTAAAAGGTTTTACACATCAATGCACTTTATACAAAGGGTTTGGATGGACGGCCTTGGCCACTCGTAGACTCCACCCATGGCATATTTTTATTTATAAGGCCATACAAGGACTTCTTTCTCTGTATTTGTTAGCCTTTATAAAGAGAAAGTCCACCGGAGGATACTCTCTCCGTCGTGAGAACTTAGTTTTACTTTCGGTGCCTAAAGTATGAACGGAACGTGGAAAGAAATCTTTTCAGTTTTCTTCTCCATCTTCTTGGAACCAGTAGCAGAAAAACCTAAAGGAGCTGTTGTCACTAAATGTTTTTAAGGCTGTTCTTACTGAGTTGGAGAAGGAATCATATGTAAATCTTTTAACTGAGGAATCTTTTAATTAATTTATTTATGACGGAGTTAACTTTTTCTGTTTTCGCTGTGAATGTTCTGTAACCTCTGTGTGCTGCTGCCAGTCTTGGCCAGGATTCTCTTGCAAAATGCATTTTTAATCTCAGTGGGATTTTCCTGGTGAAATAAAGTTTAAATAAAATAAAATAAATACCAACTGAATGTATAACATCTTGTTAACTATTCCATTAAATCTTTGCATATAGGACTGACCAATAAGTCAAAATGTGTGTATATATATATATATATATATAAATATATATATAAATATATA